TTTACAGTTTAGAAAATTCTTAGAATATCTTATATAAATCAATCTATTGAAGACACACTAAAGCGTCTCACTCAGTTTGAGGTCAGGACTCTTCTGTTGAATCCTGTCTGTTGTTGGTTTACTCCTGTGCTTTTTGTGTGACTGTCCTTCAGTTGACAGTCGGATGACCTTACATTCTCTTACAACATGTCCTGATAAACTTTGGAATTCACTTTTCCATTGATGATAGCAAGCGATTCAGGCCCTGAGGCATAAAAGCAGCCCAAATCCATGATGTGCCACTGCTGTGCCTTTTTTCTCCTATATAATGTCCCTACAAGGCTTTTAGAGACCCCTTTCAGTTTTCAGCAGGTCAACAGTTCTCAATCTCAGATGTTCATAGCACTCTTATGCTTGAGCAGGGTGCGAACTACGGGGGAGCTAGGGGGAGCTCGGCTCCCCTCAATAAGACATGGGCTCCCCTGAAAATGTGATTTGTGAAATTTTGGGGGGGTCTCAAAAAATATTGACTTTGTTATTTTAACGTGCAATTTCAGTTTTGTGTAATGTGATCATCGTGGATTATTATGTGTAAAATTGCAAAAATATAATTCATTCATGCATGACGGCGATTTAAACCCTATTCACTTCAATAAAGATGGCTATACATGCTATTCTTGTCATGAGCATCAAGGTGTGGGGACGCTGCGGTGCAAATTCCACTCATGTTTAGTACATGTTAACTCAAAGATTCGTAGAAAAAATATAAACGCTGGACTTTTATGTGTTTTTTTATGGCAATTATGTGTTGTGGCTGGGTTGTTATAGGTCTGCGTGACTCTCGATGTCTTAGGCCTAATTGAACGGAGGAATTATGGTATTCTTCTGTAGCCTGACGACGAGTAACTTTAACCATTGTTCATGTGAACTCAAAGACAGCCTGATGCTTTGTTTATAGACTATTTGGGTGGCTGTTTGTTGTTTCACCTATCAATTCCTGTCGATAAAGTATAATAGGGTAAATCCTGTATAGTGATTTATCCTATATAGTGCTTGCATAAAGCAAGTAGTGCATACACTTGTAGCTGTTATGTATCTTTGTAAGTCATTGTGAGCCCCCACCCCGTTATTAAAACATTAAAAAAACAAGTGGGCTCCCCCAAAGTCCACGGTATAGTTCGAACACTGTGCTTGAGGCTTGGTACACATCAGACAATGCTTTTTGTGAATAGCAAACCCAGAATTTTAGGGCAGCGCTGACCAACACCACCAATCTCACCTCACTGACTGAACTCAAGGTTAGTTGAACTCAAGATTACCTGAGTAGTCATTAGCCTAGGTGTTGACATACCTTTTCCTCCCTGCAATGCGAGTGTTTTCACCCTGTGTTCAGTAGAGACAAGAAATGTGTCTTTGTTTGTGTTATTTGTTTAAACAGACTGTGTTGAAGGTCAGATCAAAATTGATTAGAAATAGTTAAATTGAAAGGGTTCACATAATTTTGATGATTGACTGAAAATTGTGACCAGCTTGCATTGTATGCATGATCGTAGAGAATTTACTCTAAACGAGCCTCTGTCAATTTTTTTTCTCCATAATCCCTCGCTTGCATCCAGCATGATGCAATCACTTTACTGCTTCCTTTCAGTTGGTTACTATTTCTCTCCCCTTCCAACTCTCAGAAATCCACAAATCATTCTTCACCCCACAGCACTTAGTTAGTTTTGCGTTTTCAGCAGACATCAAGGCGATTTGGCAGGTACCCGACCATGTGTACGGAGTAGTGAGATGGCACACAGCAGCTTTCAGACTCTCTAAAATCCCTTCGACCTCAGTCAGAGATCCTGTGTGAGGAAAGTTTCCTAATGTCCCGCACGAATGTCGGCTGAGATTAAAGCTTCCCTGTGGTCCCCAACACCACTACAGTGCTCCTTTTAATGGAGCTTGAAAAAATGCTTGAGACCATGATTTGGAGATCAAATGTGTGGTGTTGTATACCAATCTCACCTCACTGACTGAACTCAAGGTTAGTTGAACTCAAGATTACCTGAGTAGTCATTAGCCTAGGTGTTGACATACCTTTTCCTCCCTGCAATGCGAGTGTTTTCACACTGTGTTCAGTAGAGACAAGAAATGTGTCTTTGTTTGTGTTATTTGTTTAAACAGACTGTGTTGAAGGTCAGATCAAAATTGATTAGAAATACAGTTAAATTGAAAGGGTTCACATAATTTTGATGATTGACTGAAAATTGTGACCAGCTTGCATTGTATGCATGATCGTAGAGAATTTACTCTAAACGAGCCTCTGTCAATTTTTTTCTCCATAATCCCTCGCTTGCATCCAGCATGATGCAATCACTTTACTGCTTCCTTTCAGTTGGTTACTATTTCTCTCCCCTTCCAACTCTCAGAAATCCACAAATCATTCTTCACCCCACAGCACTTAGTTAGTTTTGCGTTTTCGGCAGACATCAAGGTGATTTGGCAGGTACCCGACCATGTGTACGGAGTAGTGAGATGGCACACAGCAGCTTTCAGACTCTCTAAAATCCCTTCGACCTCAGTCAGAGATCCTGTGTGAGGAAAGTTTCCTAATGTCCCGCACGAATGTCGGCTGAGATTAAAGCTTCCCTGTGGTCTCCAACACCACTACAGTGCTCCTTTTAATGGAGCTTGAAAAAATGCTTGAGACCATGATTTGGAGATCAAATGTGTGGTGTTGTATTTGTTTTTTTTTTTAGAGGAAAACATTTTTCTTTTGGCAAAGAAAATTCGGGAAATTAATATGAAGTCCATTCCTCTGTAATTACGAAGATAATAGCTTTTTAGACTCCCATTAGATGTGACATATTGTGTGTGGAGAGAAATGGGAAATAAATTCAACTCCTGTTTCCCTGAAGTACCTTTGGAACGATTGTCCTAAACTCCAAGCTCACCAGATGCTCCTTCAGAATTAGGGAAACGATAGCCTTTCGTTTAGAGACGCTAAAGAGAATCGTAAATAATGGTTCATTCCAGCAAAGCCCAAGCTAATTAGCGTAGCGCTGAGTCTCGACTCGCCGTCTGTGCCAGAGTCACTGTACTTCAGTATCCGAGGAATCCCAGGAGAGCGAGGTAAACTGGTGAAGATCAAAGAGACTCATTCTAGGTGTCATTATTTGAATGAAAAAGGGTGTCTGTGCTTTTTCTGTCTATAAGAGAGAGAGAGACATCGACTATCCAGAGTGTTGTGCTGCTGCTCATGCATTTAAATGCCTCTCATAACACACTGAATCTGCCTTGTGCAATCAGTGTTTGGGGAAAATCTGAGGAGATTGAGGTGACAAAAATCTGAGGAAGACTTATCTGCTGACTCACCTCTGATTATGCTTTCCCGCCCTTTGTGGCCTGGAGTGTGTATTTACTGTGAAAAATATGTACAAGGAAAAGGCTGCTGGCTGTAATTGCACACTTCCACCACTTCCAACAGTGGAACAGCAGCTGGTTTTTATACTGTGGGGATTTAGACGAAACTTTTCTCCTTATTAACATGTGCAATGACTAAGCTCTTTAACTTTGCTGACCTGGCATTCTCAGCTCCTCTCCGTGAGTGTGTACTTAGTAGTACTTAAAAGGGAAGGCATCACTATTGCTCATACCTTGGGTTATGGATTTTTTTACAAACCCCTAACCCTAAGTATTAAACTTCTTAAGTTGTCCTGCACAGTTTATGCTATGAAGTTTGTGCTCAAATCGTGGCATGCTGTGCTGTTACTTTTCTAAGAAATTTTAAGCATGTTAGACGACAAAACCATTTTAAAAATCCCATAAATTCATGTTAAAGGTGGCACCAAAGCCATATCTAGTAACCAAAACATCATAGAGACTTTAGGCTGTACTCGTTTGACTTCAGCCAGTAAGAAACACTCTAGAAACCACATAGCAATGCTCTGGCCTTTTTTTTTTTCCTTTTTTTTTTTGTATAGTAAAACTATACACATGCCCAATTACGTGGGCTCTTGCAGGCTCGATATTTCGGAGGGCACTTTGTTCCTATCTCTCGAAAACAGAAGAGAGAGACTGGACAGTCGTCCATGCTCTCTGTTGGGGTTTATCTAGCCAAATGTCAACCCAAAGCCCCTGAAATCAAACTCCACCCTGTGTCCCATTATGTAACTCCAGCTAGAGAGTTATTCAATTGTATTCATACATTTGCTAATCTTCCATCTACAGCACCTCTCTTGCCCTGAGCAGCACTATCTTTTACATAAGAGACGTTCCCATGCTAGATAGAGAGAAAAGAACACTATATCTAGATTAATTGGGACACTGTTAAAAATACTTTAGGATGATATTGCGTCCTGGTTCAGTTTAAGCTCTCCAGAGCTGTATTATATGACCTGTAGCCCTTAGATTTCGAGCCTGAATTTGAGTCCATCGCCTTTTCTGCCTCGTGATAAAATGACTTTTTATTTCGAAGGCATGAGTGCAACGTTGATTGATTGAAATTCCATTTCTGATGTGAATCCAACAGCAGAGGGAATCTAATTTTAACAAGACAGACATGTTGAAGTGATTACGACAGAAGAGAATGGAATTATGCTTTTGCCAGACCCAATATTATGCTGCAAAACAACCAGTATTTTTGATTAGCACTATTTCTGGGGTGGAAGGAGTGAAGAGGAGCTATTAGGACCAGGGATAAAAAAGACACAGGCACTGCCCTGGGGAGCCATTTACATACATAGTAACATTCCTTCTTTTCACATGGAGACATACACTGATGGCAAAAACCTTTCTAAATTGGATACGGTCCTCGAGACCGTTCAAAGCCAGTTGCGGCTCTATTGATTGGGGCAGATGCGCAAATTTAGAAAGCCACTGGGATCACCTATCATCTCAAATGTGTCGTAATATTGTCCGGAGTAAGCAGCCTGATTGGATTTTGCTCATTAAAATGGCAGTTTTCTTTCATGTGCCCAACTGAGTTGCGCTTCAGGTCTCATGTGTCTAATCCCTGTTCCTTTGTTGTGTCTCTACAGCCATTGGTGTCCACCCTTCACATGAGTGGCATCCCTAAACACACATCTCGTATACCAGGATTTGACTACCAGCCCTTGGAAAGTGCACTAACAAGGAGTGCAAATGCCCCTTCATCTCATGTGACCACTTCTTCCTCCTCGTCTTCCTCCCGTGTGCCTGAAAGGGAGCGGGATAGGGATAGGGATCGGGATCGAGACAAGAGGAAGAAGAAACACAAGAGGAGGTCTCGGTCCAGGTCCCGCTCCAAATCCAAAACCAAGCACTCTTTGCCCAGTGCCTATCGAACCTTCAGGAGATCCAGGTAATGACTTTGGAGTTGTAACATATATTTCCAGCAACGATTTAAGCTGTTAAAAAAGAGCTTGTTAATTGCTAATGGCATGTACCTAGGGCTACATTTACTGAGATGTAATTATGTTTTTAAACTGCCTTTTCCACCTTTTTATCCATCCAAAAATGCTAATCTAAGTGGCCTTTTAAGTTAAATGTAAAATGTGGTTTTAGGGCTTAAAAGTTGGAATTAATCATTTGAACATTTCACTTCTTAAACTTAGAAGTACAGTTGCAGGAAAAAGTATGTGAACCCTGGGGTTTACTTTGAATTTCTGTATAAATTGGCCGTAAAATGTGATCTGATCTTCAACTAAGTCACAGATCTGCTTAAACAAATAAAACACAAACAATAAGTAGTTTTTATTGAACACACAGGGTAAACATTCAGTACAGGCTGGAAAGAGCATGTGAAACCTTCAATTTAAAGGGACAGTTCACATTTCTCACTTACTCACCCTCATGTCGTTCTAAGGCTGTCTGACATTTTTCGAAGAATGATATTTTGAAGAATGTTGATAACCGAGCGTTGACTTTCATCATATGGATTTAAAAAAAAAAAGACTCAGACATTCCTCAAAAATATCTTCTTTTAGGTTCTTCAGGAAAACTAAGATCATACAGGTTTGGAATAATATGAGGGTGGGACAATAGTAATAGAATTTCAATTTCTGTGAACTCTTTAAATTTAGGGTCTGTGTGCACCAAATGACTCCTGTAATTGCAGCTCAGATTTTCAGATAGGAAAATCAGGAAGAATTTAGGAGTAATTGTGACTTATTTGAAGAAGAAAAACTTTAATGATCAGTGTTTGCAGAAATCAATAGTAATAGTCCAAAGGTTCACATACTTTTTTCTGCATCTATATAAATAAATACATAATCTGGGGAGGGTGGCTTGTCAAAAGTTTTGTTCCCAGAAACTTGAGACAAGGATGCAATACCCCACCTCTAAACTTTTGTTCACCCCTCCGCCGCCATTATTTAATTTGTCCTCTTTATTGGAAATCAATGCCGATTTGTCATTATCTGCTGCTGAAGTTGCAGTAATTACAGTCCCCTCATCATGCCCGCCCTGACACGCCGTAATATAATTTCTGGAGATTAAATAATTTCGGCCCCAGCATGTAAATCACTTACAGTGTGTAAAAGGCCCCTCTTTCTTCTTTCTCTCTGTCCATCTTTCACAATCTCTGGGTCTTTTTTCTTGGTTATATTTCCATGCAAACTTGCCAAACAAGGGCAAAAAGTGTGGCTATAACTCAGATGAATTTGCTAGGTGAAATATCAGAAGGAGTATAATCGCTTCCTCTAATACGAGATAAGGAATATATACCATATTGACCCGAATATAAGACAATGTTTTTTTCTTGGAAATACAGCTGAAAAAACGCGGTCGTCTTATATTCAGGGTCTAGACTTTGACATGTCAATAATACACCCACAACAATGGATGGTGCCAAATACGCATAAAACGAGTGTGCCATGGAATACGTAATGTAATGCGTGTTGTAAAGATCGCGAGTAAAAACAAAAGCAAAAGAAAACCTTACAGCTGCATGAGTCATGACTGTCACGTTAGCCTGATGGGACCAAACTCCCTTTATGATTTTAAAACGTACCCAGTACAGTACCCAGATTTAAAGACTACAGTAAGATTAAACTTCTACTGTTAATAAGATTTTGGTAGGCTACTATTAGATGGATAGCCTAAATGTCCTAATTCAGATGGGCTACCTGTTTTGTTTTTTTAATTGTATATCAAAAAGTGTATATTTTTTTTAATGTGATTGTTGGTACATTTTACCAGTTTTTACCATACTTTCAAAACAAAAATTAAAATAGGAAAAATATGCAATATGAAAATAATTGAAGACAACATACTTTCAAAATTAAAATTAAAATAGGAAAAATATGCAATATGAAAATAATTGAAGACAAAATGTGTTTTACTGAGAAAAAAACAAGATTTGGTTTTTAAAAAGTATATTATTTTTTTACAAATATATATTTGTAGAATAAATCTAATGTCTGTGCAAGAGAAAGATTGAGATTTCTGGGCAGAAGCTCTTCTTAAACTACTAATCTAGTTTGGCTGAGCCCCTGTGCAGCTCTGTAGATATTGCCTTGGCTTTAGCCATGTTCTCCAGCTAAGAGCTGTATGAGAAATCGTCCTATCCCTGGTGGTTTTCTTATTCATCTGTTATTGAACTGCAGTTCATCCGCTTACTTCATAGGCTTTGCACTGCTGCGCAGAACGCAGCGTCTGCATTAAGATGACAATCCCATCTTCTATCGGGTACAGCCCTATAGTGGCCTTCCAGTGTTGCCCTTTCCCATTAGCTCTCAGGTGACCTGAGATAATGAGTGTCTGGAGTGGCACTACACCTTTGTTCTCACTCACCGTCTGTTATCTCCTTCCACAACCGTGCCGTTAGTAGACATGTACGTTTCTCAAGCCAGACATGTGACCTTGTGGTTTTGACCTTGTTCCCTGATTGCTGTTGAGCGGAGGAGGGCATTTAGACCACGAGTGTTTGTTTTAAAGCAGGTCAGCTCGTGTTTGGACCGAGTCCTGGTCAAGTGTGTCTGAGCATCACAACTTCAGTATAGGAAATGAGTGTTAAAGTGTTCAGCTGTCACCTTTTGTACTCTTCTCCAGTAATTGCCGTTCTTGGCGAGCTGATTTTGAATTTAAGAGGAATTTAATAAACTATTTGTCATGTAGTCTTGAGAATATGGAGGTAAAGAGCTAAAGTGCATGTCAAGTTTTCAAATACAAGGAAGCAGGTTTTAAAGAGTGTTTTTAGATTTAGATCTGATTTTTATTTATAAGCTATGGGTATTACATTTTCAGACACTGCAGGCCAAACCACTTAATGCACAGACTCAATTCAAACTTTTTGACTTAACTTTGACTTGACTTAAATTGGTAAAATATTTACCATTTTTCAAATCTAACCAACATCATTTGCACACTGAATCTCCTGTGTTCACCAAGGCTTGATTAAAAATACAGTTTCTAGGGTGTTGCAGTGAAAACAGTAATATTGCATTAATATTACAATTTAAAACAACTGTTTTCTAATTGAATATATTTTAAAATGTCTTCAGTGTCACACGATTCTTCAAAAATCATTCTAATATGCTGATTTGGTGATCAAGAAACAACTAGATAACTTTTTATATACGTAACATTAGTAAGTTGTATAAATCAGACTTCTCCACAAACCTGAGCTTGTTGTTTTTTATTATAGCCTTCATTAATAACGAGCCCATATCTCAGTCTGTGACTCCGACGGTGAACATTGAATTAGTAATCCTAGGCCCAGAAGTGATTATAAAGCACCTACATTCTGACATCAAACATGACCAGTGTTATGCCTGTAATTTTAGTTACTGCTAATAATACCGGTCAATACTCATTTTTATTTGCTGCCTCCTGACACCTGACAGCTCTCGTCTCCATCCGGCTCGTCAACACCCGGGACCAGCCGCACATTTACTCTTAATGAGTATATCTGTCCAATGTAGCGGGGGGAAAAGAAAAATGAAATTCACACTGGACACAATTATAATAAATGGATGCAAATGTATTATGGTGGGGGAAAAAATACTTTCCTCTTCATCAAATAATATCTTTGACACCCCTGCAGCAGATTGTTAATGATTAGATTTAATATCTATTTTTCTTTCTTCTTCCTGTCTGTATAAATATATATTTTTCTTCTTTCTCTGCCTGTTCCTGACCCTCACATTTAAATTTCTCTACTTGTTTGAAGTGTGCGCGTGTGTGTGCGTGCGTGTGCGTGCGTGATATTTTAATTCACATTATCCTTCTGTGTGGGTATATACACATATGATTACATTTCAACTCTTAATAACAGCCCATCCATTTTGTTACTGGAATATGTTCGTCAACATTACAAGCAATTTCCAGGCTTCAGTGAGGCTCAATTTGTACTGTTATTGAACATTAAAAGTATGATGTAGTCATGCCCTGCAATGAATTAAACACACAATTCTTATTAAAATTAATTGGAATTTATATTTTATAGAATTTAAAAAAAAAATTGTGCCGCACAAGATGTTATTTTTACTCAGAATTTTATGTCAAATTCACAGCATCGTATACCGCAGTACTTGCTGTCAGATAAATCTGCTATAAATGTGCCTAGTTACTACCGTAACTCTTGACATTTATGACTCACTATTTGAGATCCACTCAGGTCTAGTGTCAGTCCCAGACGGCCTGCACTGGAGAACAGTGATCACTGATTTGCCCAAATTTTTGAGGTCCATGACATTTCTTCACTGTCTTTGCAGTGTTTACAGTGATGTCTGCTGTGTATGGCACATAAGTCTAGGACTGTCGAAGATAAAAAATATGATTCCTCATGACAGCTGTTTCAGTGATTTATGCCACATACTGGCAGGACATTTTATGTGCTGTTTTCCCAATAAATGATTACAACTTGCAGCATGTTTAATTATCATCAAAATTTAACAATGAAATCACACTGAAGAGCAAAGCATTAACTTTATCATTTTTATTTCCTGTTATTAAAGGAACACTCCACTATTTTTGAAAATAGGCTCATTTTCCAACTCCCCTAGAGTTAAATAGTTTAGTTTTACCGTTTTTAAATGGTGAGGCTCAATTTGTACTGTTATTGAACGTTAAAAGTATGATGTAGTCATGCCCTGCAATGAATTAAACACATAATTCTTATTAAAATTAATTGGAATTTATATTTTATAGAATAAAAAAAAAAATTGTGCCGCACAAGATGTTATTTTTACTCAGAATTTTATGTCAAATTCACAGCATCGTATACCGCAGTACTTGCTGTCAGATAAATCTGCTATAAATGTGCCTAGTTACTACCGAAACTCTTGACATTTATGACTCACTATTTGAGATCCACTCAGGTCTAGTGTCAGTCCCAGACGGCCTGCACTGGAGAACAGTGATCACTGATTTCCCCAAATTTTTTAGGTCCATGACATTTCTTCACTGTCTTTGCAGTGTTTACAGTGATGTCTGCTGTGTATGGCACATAAGTCTAGGACTGTCAAAGATAAAAATATGATTCCTCATGACAGCTGTTTCAGTGATTTATGCCACATACTGGCAGGACATTTTATGTGCTGTTTTCCCAATAAATGATTACAACTTGCAGCATGTTTAATTATCATCAAAATTTAACAATGAAATCACACTGAAGAGCAAAGCATTAACTTTATAATTTTTATTTCCTGTTATTAAAGGAACACTCCACTATTTTTGAAAATAGGCTCATTTTCCAACTCCCCTAGAGTTAAATAGTTTAGTTTTACCGTTTTTAAATCCATTCAACCGATCTCCGGGTCTGGCGGTAGCACTTTTAGCTGTAGCTTAGCATAGATCATTGAATCTGATTAGACTGTTAGCATCTCGCTCAAAAATGACCAAAGAATTTCTATATTTTTCCTATTTAAAACTTTACTATTCTGTACTTACATCAATGAGAAGTTGAGATTTTGTAGGCCGATATGGCTAGGAACTATACTCTCATTCCGGCGTAATAATCAAGGAACTTTGCTGCCGTACTATGTGTGCATGTTCCGCCTTCTGTAACTACAGAAGAGTCAAGTTTTAAATAGGAAAAATATAGAAACTCTTTGGTCATTTTTGAGCGAGATGCTAACGGTCTAATCAGATTCAAAGATCTATGCTAAGCTACAGCTAAAAGTGCTACCGCCAGACCCGGAGATCGGCTGAATTGATTCGAAAACGGTAAAACTCAACTGTTTAACTGGAAAGTTGGAAGATGAGCCTATTTTCAAAAATAGTGGAGTGTTCGTTTAATGTCATCCACACTATTGAAGGTTATTTCAAATTATTTTAAGTTAATTTAATGAAATGTAATTTAAAATTTTACTTTATGAAATAGATTCTGTTTACAATAATAGCCTTTCTTTAAGGTTCAAGAGCTCAACTCCTTTTTTAGAACTTTCTCTATCTGTCAAAAAGGTTTTGAAGAGGTAATAGAGAGCAAAGAGCAAAGGACCATCATCAACTGACAGTTAATTTAACGGCATCAAGAAGTCTAACCTGTTGGTTGATTTCTAGTGTTAAGTTGACCATGTTTTTTTCTTTTCAATCTCTTTTTCTCTCTCTCCTCTCTCAGGTCTCAGTCTCATTCCCCCAGCCGCAGAGACAGACAAGCACGCCCTTCAGACAGAAAGCGTGATGAGAGGGAGAAGGAGAGCTACGGTCCAAGCACCTACCGCCTTGGCAGCAACCCAGTGCTGGGCAGGAAGCGCTCCAGATCAAGGTGGGTTGGCACTTAGGCTATCAGGGCTTGTTGTTTTTTCTTGCTTTGTGACAAAAACAAAAAAATATTTTCTAAATGTATTTTATACACTACGTTTTAAAAATTTGAGGGTCAGTAATTTTTTTTTTATTCAGTAAGAAATTAATACTTCAGAAAAGATGCATTAAATTGAAACGTGACATTTAAATTGTAATAATATTTAACAGTACTCCTGTTTTTACTGTTTTTGATCAAATAAAAGCAGCTTTTGTGAGCATAGGAGATTAAAATACATTATTAAAAAAATTATCAACCCCAAACTTTTTAACTGCAGTGTACATATACAAACCTGTATCCAAAATATTTAGTTTTATAAACAGTGGGTATAGAAAAGAATCACCCCCTTTAAAGTAATCACATTTTGTTGCTTTGCAGCCTGAAATGAAGATGGACACAGTTTTTGTTTTATTCAGCTGTATTTACTCAGTACAACTTATAACATCCAAGTGAAAGATAGAACACCAACATGTCAGAAAATAAAAAAACAAAGTCACCGAGTTGGAAAAAGGATCACCTTGTGTCAGTATTTTGTTGAACCACCTTTTGCTTTAATTACAGCCTTTAGTCTGTTGGGATATGTCTCTACTAACTTTACACATCTAGACTTTGCTATATTTGCCCCCTTTTCTTTGCAGAACTAATCAAGTTCAGTTGTTCACCATCAAATTTGAAGGGGACCATATGTGGACTGCAGATTCCACAGATTTTCAATGGTGTTTAAGTTTGGGCTCTGACTAGGCCATACAAGGACATTCACCTTTTCCTCCTTCAACCACTGTGTGCCCAGTTTTGCTGTGTGCTTTGGGAAGGTAAACCTTCGTCCCATTGACAACTTTCTGGCAGAGGGCAGCAGATTTTCCTCAAAAATGTGTAATTTGCCTCATCCATTTTTCCTTCTATCCTGGCAAGTGTTCCAGTCCCTGCTGCAGAGAAACACCCCAGAACTGGATATCACCGCCTCCATGCTTTATTGTAGGAATGGTGTTATTTGGATGATGAGCTGTATTGGATTTCCACCAGACATATCGTTTAGTGTTGAGGCCAAATAATTCAATTTTAGTCTCATCTGCCTCAGAATCTTCAAGGTGTGTTTTGGCAAAGCTCAGTCGTGACTGCATGCGGCCTTTCTTGAGGAGTGGCTTTTTTCTTGCAACCCTCCCATACAAGCCACATTTGTGGAGAATTTGTGATATTATTGTCACATGCACACAATGACCACTCTTTGTCATAAATTCCTTCAATGGCTTCAGAGTTGTTGTAGGACTCTCGGTAGCTTCTCTGACCAGTTTCCTCCTGGCTCTTTTATCCAGTTTGGAGTGACATCCTGATCCAGGGAGGGCCTGTGTTGTACCAAATACCCTCCACTTCTTAATAATAGACTTCACTGATTGATAAAGCCTCTTTGTATCCATCACCTGACTTGTGCTGGAGGTCCTGGACATCTTGTTCAGATACATGGCATCGTGAATTCTATCAAATACCAACAGATAAAAAGTCGATACCTGACTGCCTCTGTTAGAAATCTTATAATGGGCCGTGGTTGGATCTTCCATCAGGACAATGATCCAAAACAAACATCAAAATCAACACAAAAATGTGTCAGGGAGTACAAAATGAAGCTTCTGCCATGGCCGTCCCTGTCCTCTGTAGAAATTAGTGGGGTGAACTGAAGAGAAAAAGCACCAACCTGAAGGATCTGGAGAGATTCTGTATGAAGGAATGGTCTCTGATCTCTTGTCTGGTGTTCTCCAAACTCACAGGCATTATAGGAGAAAACTCAGAGCTGTTATCTTGGGAATAATTGGGTTGCAATAACGGGTGCCAATAATTGTGGCCAATGTGAACTAGATAAAAACATTTATTTCATGATGAGATTTTCCCTCCACGTTCAATTGTTTTACTTCAATGATAGGTTAGAATTTTGTGAATTTTTTAATAAAAGATCAAAAGGATAAACGATGCAGATTTATCTTTGCTCATATTTACCAAGGGTGCCAATATTAATGGAGGGCACTATATATATATACAATTTTTATTTTTTTTAAAAGATTTACTGTGACTATAATATAATGACAGTAAGGAAGAACATGTGTTTGTATTAACGACAGCTGTGATATTGCCTCATTTTAAACCCTCTAGCTGTATATCATCACAAGGAGCAGTTTGGCTGATTGTCAGCATGCATGCTGCTGTTCACAGTGGGTAAAAAGTGCTTTCCTGGTGTTTCCCCAGAGTCTGCAGCAAACATGATCTTTTCATTCACTGTAATCCTTCTATTGAAGAGTCCTGTGAGACTCCACTCCATGACACGGTTATCATCACCCTTCCCTCTCTCTCATTTCCTCTGCCTTCCCGTTATTTTCTTACCAACACCTATAATGCTAAAGCACCACAGAAAGAGATGGTCATGGTGACTTCTCAGATCTCACCCGCCTTTTATGACATTGGTTTTTGTCTGAGCGGCCCATTCTCTCCAGTACTCTTTAAAGCTTAGCTGAGACGTTTCTCCATATTCTGCTGCCGAGGAGGTTGCAGAAAGCAAAGGCAAGCTTTTTACACATCTCCTACAAAAGAAAAAAAAAGTTCAGCATCTTTCAATACACCCTCGACCCTTTCTGGTTTGAACCGAGGGAAGAATTGAGAGCGATGGTTGGATCACTTACAGGGTTTTAGTGAGATCTGGTTTGTCAGTGATGATAGAAGCATCTCAGATGCAGAACCTCGCTTACATGCGAGCAGAGGAAGATTGAGTGCCTGTCTTAGACCAGGCAGCAGCTGTTGTCTTGGAAATATAGCATAACAGTCGGGTTACGGAAGTAAAATATCATTTATTCTCTCCATTGGAAAATATGTTTTTAACAAAATATGTAAATCTTTCAAGACAGAACAGCCATGAGCTCTGAGGTTAAGTGATGGTATGTGTCTGTAGAAACCGTCCTGTAAGTCACAGTGAGTCACTGCTTTATATTTTAAAGAAAGAAATGCTTTTATAGCCTAATTCTTTGTAAATAACTACACTATCTATTATTCTGAAGAGAGACTCATTATTTAGAAAAATTGTAATCCTATGTATTTGTATATTTGTTTGAAAATTATATTTTAAAATGCATTAGTATTTGTAATTGTTGTAAACTCGTAATCATGTATATGCGTGTATATATACAGGTGCATCTCAATAAATTAGAATGTCGTGGAAAAGTTCATTTATTTCAGTAATTCAACTCAAATTGTGAAACTCGTGTATTAAATAAATTCAGTGCACACAGACTGAAGTAGTTTAAGTCTTTGGTTCTTTTAATTGTGATGATTTTGGCTCACATTTAACAAAAACCCACCAATTCACTATCTTTTCCACGACATTCTAATTTATTGAGATGCACCTGTGTATATATATATAATAAATAAATATGTACAAATATGATTTTAAATATTATATATTTTATAATACCAGTTATGATTGTCATTGGCATTTGTTTTTTAAATGAACCTTTAACCCTTTAAACGTTTGCCTTTTTTATGATTAAAAGTTTCTGCTGTTCTGATTCATCTCAAGAGCTGAATGGCTTTGTTCATTGCTTAGAAATTTTATTAAATAATTATTTTTTAATCCCTTTTGAGAAAATTAATGGGGAAAAATGCATTCGGAAGTCACTGTTGAACTCCATACTGCTCTCCTGTCCAATAAGCTATAAGATAATCTTAATCATGCCAATCAGATAGGGTAGGTGAGAGGCCTTAAGTGTTTCTGTCTTTTTTGCGTGAACTTAGCTTGATTTTCCTGTACTGATTCAATTAGTCATAATAGTTTACGCCTCGGGTGGAATTCTTGGCATGTCTGCAGCAGCGCATTTTTAACCTCATTGTGTCTCCTAGGACTGCTTTGATCCACTCTCTCTTTTGCTACAGTGCCACAGGTAATTAGAGGTCACTATGCCCATTAACTGAAGTTGGGTGCGCCTTTAAAAATGTATTGTTCCAACTAAAGGACATGCCTGAGGTATTCAAATAAAATAATCATAAAGGGCCGTCTGGGAGATAAAGGCCCCTTGATAATATGGACTGTATGTGCTTTTTCTCTGGAGAGAGAGCACGTGCTGAGACTTTAATGTGTGTGTGAATGGCCTATTCCAGTCCCATCGCTGATGCAGAGCTGGATCAGGGGGTCTTGCTGAAGGGACGTGTGCATGTTTTAAGACTCCACAGTGTTACCTCCTGTCAAACAGTAACTCTCACTCCACTGCTTCGTCCACAGAGCCGCAAGAATGAAGGCTTTTTCAAAGTGACAATACTTGTATTGTGCATTATTTATATATTGTTGTTCTAACCTTATGACTTTCCATATTCTGTGGAACAAAGAAGGAAGAATTTTGTGAATGTCAATAAATTCAAAATAATTGTTCCAATGCAACAAAAGCATGTAGTGACTTAATATGTGAATTATGGTTTTAAAATAAAAAATTTTAAAAAAAAAAGCATCAGAAAAATGCAATACTCCAATATGTGTGCAATATTCCAAAGCTATACAATAACTTAGTGTGAGAAACAAGTCAAGGCAATTTTATTTATATAGTATATTTTATACACAGTGCTAATTCAAAGTGCTTCACATAACATTTTTTTTTTTTATAATGTAAACATAAAAAGGTTCAAAGAAATAATTAATGCATAAGAGAATTGAAGAAAATAATCAATAAATTCATTCATTTAAAAAATAAAAATAAACATGCCGTTATTAACCTAAAATGTTCCCCTCTCAAATCTTATTTGTCTGATGCATAACACCAGATTTGATTTAAATAAAAATGAATGGCAGTGTTTCTTGTAACCAAACATAATGCAGCAGATTTTGTTTTGAGCTGATCTATTTGTTTAACTTTTTTTTTTATTGTTTTTTTCTTTTTCTTTTTCCAGATCACCTCATGAAAAGAAGAAGAAGAAGGGTTCAAAGTCATCGCACCAATTTAAGGGTTCCTCCTGTTCGCCCTCAGCATCCCCTGACAGAGGCATAGCCATGGCCAGAGTTTCTGCAAGCCCCTCCCCTGCCACAAGCCCCGCCTCAAGCCTGGGGAGGTCCAGGTAAAGGGCATCTCTCTCTGGTCCAATTGCTCAACGATCAGTCAGCGTGAACCTCGCGAGAGAGCCACCCACCTTCTGAAGTTCGGTCTGCTTCAGTCAGAATCATAGATTTCAAGCATATTTTTCCCCACTTTGTTGCAATATTTATTTAAGCTTTGCCAAGAGCACTGCGTGTGAGACACAAAGACAGTCTGCGCTGTAGCTTTTTGATTTGGAAGTTGTAATGGTTTTAGGTGTGATTTGACAACTTGACTAATTACTTGTTGAACAAAGCATGAAAGCTTCAGACGCTCAAAATCAGCAATGATGACATTTTTATAAAATGGTTTGACAGCATAATATGCATGAACTGTACAATACATTTGTACATTACGGAGAGGTTTTGATTCGAAAACCTGAGAAAACACCACACTGCAAAGGGGGACTGACTTTTTTGTCTTCTCAAGTTCCATCAAAAAGATGCTCTAAACTCCCTCGGCCTTCAGTTGTTTTTGCTGCTGCTGCTTTACCTCCCACCGTGTGACTCTCTCTAGACTTTGTTTTTATTTGTGCAGTTGTGTCTCTTCCGGCATTGGGTGAATATTTCATGTCCTTCTTCTGGTCTGCGGTGGTTACGCAGTCACCAGTCGTCATGAATACTGTATTAAGGTGTTTTTCACAAACCGTGCCAATTGGCAGGGCTCTGTCTCACTTTCTCTTTCTTTTTGTTTGTCAAACAGGAATGGCTCTCAGGAGAAAGACAAGCAAGTGTCTTCCACTATTGTCTCTTCGGTGCAAAGCAAAATCACTCAGGTATGCTATTAAGACATTTTTAACTTCCATATAGCAACAAAGCTTTTGTGTAAACTAGGGCTTTCACTTGATTAAAATGTGTGAATTAATTAATTTCATTATATGCCGCTTAATTAAATGTAATCACAATTATATATATATATATATATATGTTGTTTTTTTTGCAGAGAAATGTCATCAAGTAAAGATATTAATGAAGACATTGCATTTTTTTATTTATTCACTCCGTATTATATAGGACACTGGAGATTTATCAGGACTACTTTCTGTGCCACTTTTTGACCCAAAAAAAATTTTTTCTATGAAAAATGCTAGATGGCAATACTTGCCCAGTCATTTATATAATATTAAATTAAATATAATATAATTCAGGGCCCATAAACCTTCAAACTTTAGGAATTTTTAAACTTTTTTCCCCCCAGAACTTTAAAAACAGGTCTCGACAAACTTTGCTTTCTAGTTAAAAATTATATGTAGAACATTCTCAGTTCATTTTAATTCTGCTTTTTAAAATTTTAATTAGAATTTTACATCAGCATTAAAGCATTATTTTTTATTCTATAGGACATTGAAGAGTTGTCAGAACTACTTTCTGCACCACTCTTTGACCATAAACATTAACTTTTATTACGGTTTTTCTATTTAAATGTGCTAGACGGCCGTAATTTACCATTGTGTTGCATCTTGCTGCTTTTACAGCATCTTTCAGCACCATATTAAAAGTTAAAGTAATTTCATTCTTTTTAAGAATGTGTCTTGACACCCTGCATTCTTTTCCATTCTTTAGCATTTTAATGCAACGTTCTATGCGAATGCCCTCTTGGACTGATGTTTTCAACTGGAGATTTGATTGCATTTTGTACATTAAGCAGTTTCGGGCCGAATTAATTTGTAAGGTTGAGGTTTCAAAATAAACCTCTAAACAGAATGCTTGAGAAATATCAATACAGTGCTGCCTTGCAAACACTGTAATAAGCTAAAAAACACAAAACTTTCCCTTCCTCTCCCGTTTTAATTCAGTGCCTAAGGGAAAAACAGACTGAAATTGTGTAGCAGAGCTGATGAGACCCTTAGATGCTTAGTAAGGCTTTAATATAGGTAATTTAGAGCCAGACGGTCTCAGTGGTTCATGTTTGCCGAGCCTTACGTGCTGAAACTGAAAAATACAGTTATTTGGTTTCATGACCCTGTCGCCAGGGGTGGTTATGTAGGTGTGTGTATGTTTATGGGAGAAAGAGAGCTTGTCGCTATCGCATGCTGATTCAATGCAGCTGTCAGTCCCTGCAGCTCTGTTATAATCTCTGGCCTTGTGCAGCGAGGATGAAATGCAGAGTGCACTTACTTTCCTTCCTTTTGCGTATTGTTAGAGCAGACGAAAGGTAGCTACTATGTGCATTAAAAAAAATGCAGTTGTGTCAGAGGGAAGAGGATGCGAGTAATGCATAATGTAAGAAGATAGACAAAGTACACCGTACTGTGTTTCACTTGCAGCCATCTGGTCTTCAACAAAAAGAGAAATCAGCAGGATAGCAGTCTTTTTATTCTCCCTCTCTCTACTAAAAAAGTCCACAGTCTTGACATGATTTCAGATCTTTTGGAAACCTAATTCACTTCCCTTTTCTCCCGGCGCATGAAATCAATTCTGACACCTCAGAACTGGGGCAGAACTTCCAGGGGGCAACATCTTGCAAAAACGATTTGGCTCTTATTAAAACCAGCAACTGCTGCTTGAAACAATGGAAGCATGGTTCACCTTGACAAATAACTACCAGCAGGAACTTCTGCAGGCCTGTGCATGCTTGCCTTTGTCCCAAGTTACCCCCTCTAGCCAAGGCAACGAAAGCTCTAGGCTACACGGACCACCCGTAGATCCTGCCGGTAGGGAAGCAGGTTTCAGCTTGGCTCAGTTTGATCCTTTGCCCGTAGCTCTACCTCATGCAACTATATTGGATCCTCCAGAGGAGAATGTTCCAGCGCAGACATGCACATCCCGACTATTGATAGAGGAAGAAGTGCTCTCATGAGGCACTCCGGTAGAGACTGGCGGGGTTTTTTTACAACCGGCAAAGGAAAAAGCTGTAACATTAAAGGCTGGGGAAGCGTGTTCTCGATCTTAACACTACTCCCCTGGGATTTTACGAACCCTCTATCTTCCTGTCAGACGAACAACAAGGGAGGCTGGTTTATAATTCTCCCTGAGGAACCCTATAGTCTCTTTTTCTTTTCTAGTGCACTGTGCTGTCCTCCCCATGTTTAAAATGTTGGTGCTCCTTTCTTATTTGCCACTGTTTAGCATGGACTGCGTGTGAAGGGTGGCAGGTGACTGATGGTTTGATTAGGAGGGGTTTATGGGTTGCAAGGTTATGAGAACATTACTGTTGTCGTGTGCAAGATGAGAAACCTAAAAGCTTTGCGTTCCCGAGTACCCCCTACTGTGACTCTGGGTGAAAAGACATCTCTTGTACTAACTGATGTGATCAACATGTGGAGGGTCCTCATGGTATAGTAACAACACTAAAATTATACTGTATCGTAGCTGTGTCTTTCTCACCTAACCTTAGGGCTCTGAATGTTGGAGAAACCTTACACTGAATCCAGTACAAGCTGAAAATTCTAAAACATTTTTTATTTTATAAATTGCATCGTGCAAAAAGTGCAAAAAAATCTTACCAATCTGTGAGCTTTCCACACAAGGAACCTTTGAAGAATCCTGGAAATCACCTAGCCCAAAACCATCTCTAACCAACAACTACTCATGCAGTGCTAGCAAGAAAGTATGAACACCATCACCATCAGGTGATTGTAGATGAGAAGACATCACCTTGTTTGGCCTTTTGTATGGAGCCAGATCAGCCTCAAAAATAATACATTTACAAAACAAAATTCATAAATGCACAGCACAATTTACATTTAAAAAATCTGATTCGTAAATTCAAAACACAATTCATAAATACACAAGTAAAAGCATAAATATTTATCCAAATGCTCACACAAATGCATCTTACCTAAATAAATTAAAATGTTTACACAAATATGTATATATCAAGTTCTTGAATTAATTTCCATCACATACAGTATATGAATAATGTTGCATGTGTTTATGGATAGTTGAATCTGCATTTGCAAATCGTCACACGTGCGTAGAGATCATGGAACAATGCACGGTACAAGCTCAGCATTGAGCTTCTCGAGTCTGTTCAATAAGGAGCGTTTTGATTGTTGAATTAAAAGCTCACCGCGATTGGCTGAACGGAACATCCTCCAAAAAAATTATATTTATGAATCTTAACCTGTCCGGAAGGTCTCAAAAATACCGCACATAAATTCAAAGCAGTCCACGCACGTGTGACGATTTGCAAATGCAGATTCAACGATCCATAAATACATGTAACATCATTCATAAATTAATTCAAGAACTTGATATATACATATTTGTGTAAGCGTTTTAAATTTATTTAGGTAAGATGCATTTGTGGGAGCATTTGGGGGAAGTATTTATGCTTTTACTTGTGTATGTATGAATTGTGAATTTACGAATCGGATTTTGTACATGTAAATTGTGCTGTGCATTTATGAATTTTGTTTTGTAAATGTATTATTTTTGACGCTGATCTGGCTCCATATTTTGTGGACACCAGAGGGAAAACGAAAGGGAGAAAGACCAAAAAGCACCTGTCACTGAACAGTGGAAGCGTTTACACAAATATGTATATATCAAGTTCTTGAATTAATTTCCATCACATACAGTATATGAATAATGTTGCATGTGTTTATGGATAGTTGAATCTGCATTTGCAAATCGTCACACGTGCGTAGAGATCATGGAACAATGCACGGTACAAGCTCAGCATTGAGCTTCTCGAGTCTGTTCAATAAGGAGCGTTTTGATTGTTGAATTAAAAGCTCACCGCGATTGGCTGAACGGAACATCCTCCAAAAAAATTATATTTATGAATCTTAACCTGTCCGGAAGGTCTCAAAAATACCGCACATAAATTCAAAGCAGTCCACGCACGTGTGACGATTTGCAAATGCAGATTCAACGATCCATAAATACATGTAACATCATTCATAAATTAATTCAAGAACTTGATATATACATATTTGTGTAAGCGTTTTAAATTTATTTAGGTAAGATGCATTTGTGGGAGCATTTGGGGGAAGTATTTATGCTTTTACTTGTGTATGTATGAATTGTGAATTTACGAATCGGATTTTGTACATGTAAATTGTGCTGTGCATTTATGAATTTTGTTTTGTAAATGTATTATTTTTGACGCTGATCTGGCTCCATATTTTGTGGACACCAGAGGGAAAACGAAAGGGAGAAAGACCAAAAAGCACCTGTCACTGAACAGTGGAAGCAGAATTGAAGACCCTAAACCACACCTGGGACACCATTCTGAAGCTGGCCTAAAACAGACAGGACTAAAGGGCCATGAAGAAGACGACTAAATGACAGAGTCAGAACGTTTTTTTAAAAACGTGGGGTGAGTTCAGAGTGATATTGGATGTGAGATTTCAAAATTGCTTTTAAATGGCCTGGGCCTGTGATTGAAGTACCTTCTCCTTGTACTGAAAGTGGGGTGATCCTCTGAACTCTGAAAATATAGGTACAAATGTGGGTTATCTGTTAGATTGGTTTGAGGTCTGGATCCAAATAGCTACAGAGGAAGCAGCCGACTGCAAAAAGCAGTCCTCAGTCCCAATTACAACTAGCTATTTTTTTGGTCATTTGATGTCAGAAAGCAACTCTTAGGTTTCCATCGAGCAAGAGTAGAGTTAGGCGGCCACATTTTCAGATGTCCTCAGACTATAGCCAGCAGTCGTCTCATAATGAGACATAACGAGAGAGCCCTTTATCCCAGCTTAGGGCTGTCACTCTAATGTACTGGACCAACACTATGATTAGAGAGATATTCTCATTGGTTCTTCGTCTTTTAGCAATGTATATGTGTTCGAGTAGTGTGGGAATTTTAATTGAATTAGTCACACAATACAGAAAGTTGATGTGGAATTTGAAGTGCATTTTTAGGTTTATTCTGGATGGCACACAAACCTGGTGGGTGGTGATGTGCAAGATTCCCCAACCCAGACCCTGATTTAGTCAGTTTTAGTCAGTCTCTGTACACTATTTAATGCCATCCATGTAATTTTGTGGTTTCACTTCCCCAGAACGACTTTCATGATGATTTCACCCTATGAAGTACAACAGCAGACCCTTCTCTCTAGAGGCACGTTGGTCCTTGCCTGTGTTGTTTGTGCTTTTCTTGACCACTTGTTTGTTTAATGATTAATTCTGCAGGGGTTTTATTGGAAATTCAGGGTTAATAACTTTCCTTCGACTGGACGAGGGGGTGGAAGGCAGCGGTGACTTTAATTCTGCAAACGTCAATGAACAAACCTTGCTCCTATGACAACCGTGCAATTCAGCCACCTGTTTCGAAAGATTATTTTACTGATTTGATATGTAATGCCAAGTTGAGCTGCTTTCAAATTTGAAAGCAGTAAAGAACCTTGAAGTGATTTTATGCTGGTGGCACAGAAAGGCATCATTATAAGGGAAACAGGCCGAAATGTATTTTATTAGTATTTTAAAGTAATATGATATATTATTGGAATATTGTTTTTATGTAATCAACATTATAGAGCTTAACTTCTACTGAACCCACAATATTTCAATAATATTTTTTTATTTTTTTGTGGAGATTCCTTGATGGAAATTCCATTTCTATGAAATCAGTGAGACCAATTAAGTGCATATTCATTGAGCAAATGTTTATTCAAGTGCCAAGCTGTTAGATCTCTGGTGTCACACTCTCCCTATGGGCTCTTAGCATGCAACTGGCCTTGGGTAAGGTAACCTGAGCCACATAGAATGAGGGGAGGCATTTGAAGAGCAGGAATCCAGCTATTTGCCGATGGCCTTCTCTTCTATAGGATGCCACTAGACATCCGTATGCATATTTAGCACGTTGGATTCTCATGCATACAAAGCCAGAAGCCAATCTGAATTTCAAATTGCGAAAGTTGTCTGCAAGCATATGGATTTGTGTTTTGGTTTTCTTGTTTTGTGTTTATACTATGATTAGTTTCTCTCACAAACTCTCCCAGCTCTGCTCCCCTACGAATACTGTAACTTTTTCTCCATTTCTTCTTGCTTGTAGGACCTCATGGCGAAAGTGCGAGCAATGCTTGCTGCCTCCAAAGGCCTTCAGCCGAATGCCTCCTGAGAGAGTTCCACCACATCCAGACAGGATCAGTCTCCAGCTACATCTCGCAAGGTAGCAACAGACTTCTGGCTAACTACTGGACCGCTGTTCGCCTGACAAGCTGCACAATGCTGGATGCTTTTATCCCTTTATGAATGCCTGTTTGGATCTGGCGTTAGATGTTTGTATTTCGCCTCCAGATTAGTATTAGGCATGGAGGTCTGCTTTATTTCGAAGGTGCAGGTGGAACCCAAGCAGGTGAAGAAAGAACGAAACCAGCAGCAGATGGTGGAGCCTCAGTCCTGCTGTGTGTTTTTGCTGTAAAGCAACATGTAGAGAGTATTAAAGGCGTAATTCCTTGGATGCAACTGAGAACGTTCTTTCCTTTGTAATGTTGTGTCTGCCAGAAGGACACCGTTATATCCTTCTGTGAAGGATAAGGCTGTTTATTTCTCTCCTGGCTCCTTTTTTCCTCTCTGTCTCTGAGCTCTTTTCAACATGAAGTTGTCAGCTTTCTCGGTTGTTTTTTTTTTCTTTGAATATGTGGCCTTCAGTTTTTGATTTCTAAGTTTGTACAGGCCTAATTTTGGAGCTATTTTGGAAAACCATCAATAAAGTTTGAATTATGGAACATGAGTGTGGTTGCCTTACTTTCCGCAAGTGAAATCTCGTCATCTTCGCCTTTTGCTCCGTCTGTTTTTCATTTCCTGCACCTGCGAGCTCTGGCCCTTCGACCGTCGGCGCATGTACTGCATCCCAGCATGCACTCTGCATGATAATTAGGCCCCATGTTCTGCTGAAGAGTCCATATGAGTGGGGTTCTCAAGAGGGAGAGAGCGAACGGTGGGAATCATGGTCCATTTTAAATTAGCCTTTAATCTTGTTGCAGTTCTGCCAGCAGAAGCAATGCGGGGAGTCTCATTTGGTCCTACAAGAGAGCAAAATGGACTGGTTAGAGATCCCTGGAGCAGGTCGGTCTCATCCAAACCCATATTTACACTCACTACAAACTCTCTTGACATGGCGAACTTAACATGTTCAGATTATGCAAAGTCCAATTCAAGTGGGGTTTTCCTGGAAAGGCACAGAGGAAGTGTTTTTTGCCAAAAAATAAATTTTAAAATGTCCATCTGGCATGCTTTTTTTGATCATCGTTTTCATTGTTCACTCTGTCCTGTATGTTCAGCTAAACCTGCACAATTTAATCAAGGCACTTCATTTACTCAAGTCATTTTTGATTTGCATTATATCAAAAAAAATGTATCATTTGTAAATTGATGCTTAAATGTTCCATAATTGCACCAATCGCAATAATCATAATGCTACGTGCTTTTGAAAAGGGCAGCTTTGAACTAGACTTAATAGTAGACCCTGCATTTGTATTACTCTTATGTTTGAATTGTAACAATTCTCGTTGCACAGTTGTTTGGATCTTATGGGTTAAATTTTATTTTATTTAATTTGTCAAATTAATTACTTTTTCTTTGCTTTCATGTATTTTTGGTCAGTAACGAAACAAATTACATTGAAAAAATATATTAAAATAATATTTTAATTATTATTAAATTACTATGTAGCAAAAAAAATCAATAATTGTTATTTATTAATATTTTGTCTATTTCTTATAAATATGTATTTAATTATTAGTAGCAGTAGTAGTATATAATGTGTCTTCATTTCAATAGGCTTGAAAAAGCCAAGTGTTTCTAAAATGAAATTCATGCTTTACAAAGGCTTTGTTGTGAACTGAGCCTGTGTTAAGTGAGCCATTCACTTTGAAACAGACCTGAATGTCTATTCCTGATGGCCTTCTTCCCTTCTAGATTTCCATTATTCTGTTTATTATTTGTATCCTTTTATCAAATTCACTACACACTGAGTCTTGGAAATAAAAGGCTTTGCTAGAGTTGCAGTTTAGTTTGTCGCTGTTTGCTGGAGTACAATATTTCATTGCGACACGGTTGTTAAGGGCAATTTTCACGCCAGGTCTTTATAGGCAATTAATTAATTATAATCATTAAATGGAACCGAAATTAGCTGGATTGAAAACGAAGGTACCATCTCTGGAGGGCTGTTTTTGGCATCGACACTGACCTGTTGTCAGAGCCGGTACACAGAAGATGGGTCGTGAATGAGGCTACTTGCAGGCTGGGAAATCTTTTTTTTCTTTCTCGCCCGAGAGTCTGTGTTCATCATTACACACCAGCAATCTGCTCAGCCAAAGCGAGTAAACACATAGCTCATTTTTGGCCAAGGCTTCACTCATTCCAGGCTTGTAATAGCCGCAATATTCCCTCCAATAACTGGATTTATATGCAATTAAATGCACCTCATAACATCGATTTGATTCCGAAGGGCTGCATTCAAGGTTTCGCCCACTCACACTGTCTTGAGTTTTTGTGTATGACAAATAGAATGGCTGTGTGGTACCAAGAAGTCACTTACAGGGCAGAATGAGGAGGCCAGGGGTCTCATTTATAAACATTGCGTACGCACAAAATGGGCATAGAAATTGCATACGCAATTTTCCACGCACATATCGGTATTTATAAAAAAAAACTTATATAAATATGTACGCTCCATACGGACACTAGACCATGCGTACGCACTCTTTTTTTCCTGGAGTGAGAAAAGTAATGAAGTAAACAACGATTTTAAACTCTTGTTTTCATTTCGATATACACATTTACATTAAATATTTCACTCTCATTAATAGAGATAAGCACTGAAATTACAAAGTCAGTACGCAGAAGTTAAACAAAAATTATATGAATTTAGACATATTTAGTGGATGAGCTTGATCACTTTTCCTTTGCCATGCTATGTTTTAATGACAGCGAGGAGTGCTATAGGTGCACACTAATTCATCTTTAAACTAAACTGCAGATCTCAAGTTGTGAGAAAATGTTTTTAGTGAGATCAATGATCAATGATGTGCACTTACTTCGATGGCAGACACTGCTGGAGTCAGTGATCGAACGGTCCATTGTCCGGTTTGAATGGCTCCAATGATAGCATACTGTACAACCACAGCTGCATGTGTTGATGCCATGTGAAGGCATCTCCACAACTTTTTTGAAGAATACCACTGTATTTGAAGAATACAACTTGAAGAAAATGGTAATTTGCATGTTTCCTTTTAAAATAGGCTAGTTTGTCAATTCTATTTACACTGCAATAAATATAGGCTAAAAATAGCTAAAAAATAATTAAATAGACTAGAATAATTAAATAGCTGCATAAATTAAATTTGATTTGAATTTTTTTAAACAACTGAAATACTATTTGGCCAGTGGAAAAGAATGAGATCAACTCTATTCTAAAAAATTTGACTATTTTAAACAGTTTTGTTTTTATGGATTTTGATATACTTATGCTAAAACATAACAAGGATACTGGATGATTTTTAGCAATAAAAATTGTGTATGGCACAAATCCCATTTATATTTCATATTTCCTTTCCTTTGACGGAATTAAACATGGTGTCACATGGATGGGAATATGCATGGAAATTATATGCAGATGAGGTTATACATAGTAAAACTAGGCGTTGTAAGCTCCCTAGTTTGTCAATTCTATTTACACTGCAATAAATATAGGCTAAAATTTTTTATTTTATTTAATAATTAAATAGCTGCATAAATTAAATTTGATTTGAATTTTTTTAAACAACTGAAATACTATTTGGCCAGTGGAAAAGAATGAGATCAACTCTATTCTAAAAAATTTGACTATTTTAAACAGTTTTGTTTTTATGGATTTTGATATACTTATGCTAAAACATAACAAGGATACTGGATGATTTTTAGCAATAAAAATTGTGTATGGCACAAATCCCATTTATATTTCATATTTCCTTTCCTTTGACGGAATTAAACATGGTGTCACATGGATGGGAATATGCATGGAAATTATATGCAGATGAGGTTATACATAGTAAAACTAGGCGTTGTAAGCTCCATTATATGGTGATTTCAGGGAGGAGTCGGGGTGGAGATGCACGTACGCACAATCTTCCCCTGACTGGGATTGCAGGTTCTGGCGTACGCATGGTTTTATAAATCTGAAAACGTTTGAGTGTACGCAAAATCTAGCTTTTGTGCCTATGTACACTTTTAGGATGAAATCTACGTTGAGTTTTATAAATGAGACCCCAGGTGTTTTGCTAACTTTATAAGATTTGGGAACTACTGGCTTCAGTCTGGTCCAGTGAAATGCTGAAAGGAACAGCCTCCTGCAAGGGAAAAGGTTTGTTGATTTATCAATTGATCTTTTGGTGACTTTTTTGCAAATTCAAAGGAAAGTACATGCAAAATTTACTATCTAAAGTCAAATGAACTTAGGTTGGGTTGAGAATGATGTTTCATGGCCTGTTCTTAAGTTTTATTTCCCTTTGCTATAGGGTGCCCATTTTCCCGGACACGTCCTGGCCAGGATTTCTCTATTGCCTAAAATATCCAAGTTTGGGCTTTGTTTGCATTGCGCAGACTGATCGGTGTTATGACATCAAAATACCGTGAGAGTTATAGAGAGCAGATGTCTCCCATACTTTAGAATCGCACTCACTGTACTGTCATGCAACAATCAGTCTGTGCAGCACTGCTTCAAGTCAAACTTACCTAATATGTACGCGTATTCACTTCCAGGAAATCTCTAAAATGGATAAAGGTATCCAGCTATCATAGCCAAAGCAATCTCTGCTGTAGCTAAACTGAGTAAAAAACAAAACAAAAAAAAACATTTGGACTGATGAAACGTGAAGACAATAAACACAAGATTACGACAATATAAAGTTTGTGTTATTCAACAATTTGTCTCCTCCGCATCACCCTGTAGCGTCATTTTGGAGAGTATCAGCTGGATGTAAATAACATATGCTGTTCTGTGTCAGCTGCATCACGCCGGATCTGTTTCCTACTATGATTTGATCTGAACGGAAACATATCCGTGTATAGCGTATCCATGTGACGCAGCTGACACAGAACAGCATACGCTGTTTACGTCCAGCGGATATTCTCCAAAATGGCACCAGGGTGATGCTGAGGAGACGAATTGTTGAATAAAGTCTTTTTTTTTTGATTTCAGGGAGGAGTCGGGGTGGAGATGCACGTACGCACAATCTTCCCCTGACTGGGATTGCAGGTTCTGGCGTACGCATGGTTTTATAAATCTGAAAACGTTTGAGTGTACGCAAAATCTAGCTTTTGTGCCTATGTACACTTTTAGGATGAAATCTACGTTGAGTTTTATAAATGAGACCCCAGGTGTTTTGCTAACTTTATAAGATTTGAGAACTACTGGCTTCAGTCTGGTCCAGTGAAATGCTGAAAGGAACAGCCTCCTGCAAGGGAAAAGGTTTGTTGATTTATCAATTGATCTTTTGGTGACTTTTTTGCAAATTCAAAGGAAAGTACATGCAAAATTTACTATCTAAAGTCAAATGAACTTAGGTTGGGTTGAGAATGATGTTTCATGGCCTGTTCTTAAGTTTTATTTCCCTTTGCTATAGGGTGACCATATGTGCCCATTTTCCCGGACACGTCCTGGCCAGGATTTCTCTATTGCCTAAAATATCCAAGTTTGGGCTTTGTTTGCATTGCGCAGACCGATCGGTGTTATGACATCAAAATA